AAAAAATTATATTTTGTTGTTATTTTTTAGTGGATTTCTAGGTTTGTTGTTGTTGTTTTTCTAACAAAAACAATTAACGTGTCATAATTTACAATAACAATGAATTTGATTAAATAATCTTAGTATTTCTGTTGTTGTCATTGTCGAAAAAACAAAACATCAACAAAAACACAACAAAACCGTTTAGAACCCCATAGCCATATTGGTATGTTATCGGTATCACGTAATATGATAAACAATTTTACGCCAGCTAAAGGTCACACACACACAGAGAGGCGCACGCACACACGGAGGGTGCACACATAACAGTAATAGGTGGTATGTACAGAAATTATAATTAGTCTAATAACAATAAAGAATCCAAACACACATATTTTGTTTTTGGTGCTGTAGATAACAAACAATTAATTGTTGGTACTTTTCGAACATATCGTTGCCGAGAATAGACGCAGAGCCTAAAATATCCATGATCAAACTTTATTGACCTTGGTCTAAATATAGATCGCATTTATGGTTCGAGAGATTATTTGCATTGTATAAGTGTCGGGAATATGGAAAGTGCTTAGATATGCCATGGCAAAACTAACTAAACTAAAATAGCAAGGGGAGTTATAAATAACTTCATATGCTTATCGGACATCGGGGCGCATGATTGGCAAAAATTCCGCAAGATATGGAGACCTAAATGGTAACCAGAAGAGCTAAGGGTCTTCAGGGTACATACGGGAAATTTAGTTGAAATATTCCGCATATTTTCAAAGTTATGGCCCAGAGATCTTCCGTACGAAAAAATCCCAAAATTCTTTAAATTTTGCGTAATAATGTATTTTGTAGGATATCTCTGGTATTAGGGCAGATATATCCACAAAATTTATAGTGACTTCAAACTAGAGGGATCCTTTGTTTCAAATCCAAAAAAAAATATAAAAATATTCGAACTATTTCCGAACTTATGGCCATTAGAATGTCATTACCGAAAATAATTCAAAGTTTCCTAAATTCGGTCATTTGTGTAATTTTTATCATATCTCTGATAATTACTCAGATATATATACAAAATTCACCTTCATTTTAAAGCTGGGACATTCTTTATTTAAAATCAAAAATTTGGACAAAATATTCCAACTAGTTCCATACTCACGGTCAAAAGATGTTCATTACCCAAAGAATTTAAAAGTTTGGTCAAATTGGGGATTTATGTTTTTGGTACAATATTTTTGGGAAATTGGTCGCAATTGTCTGCAGAATTTGTACTGATTTGAAAGCTAAGGCACTTCTTTTTGAGAATCAATTCAGTTCGTAAAGATATTCGGATAAAATTAAAATTTTGGAGCTATCAAATGCTATTACGAAGAAAATACCAAACATTCCTAAATTCTTTAAATTTTGCGTAATGATGTATTTTGTATGATATCTCTGGTATTTGGACAGATATGTCCACATATTTTATACTGAGTTCCAAGGAGCTACATTGATTTCTAATAATCCAAAAATATTATAGAAATATCCCAACTATTTCCGAACTTATGGCCTTCAGAATGTCATTACCGAAAAAAATTCTAGGTTTCATAAATTCGGTTATTTGTGTAATTTTTACCATATCTCTAATAATTACTCAGATATATACACAAAATTCACAGTTATTTTAAAGCTGGGATATTCTTCTTTTAAAATCAAAAATTTGGACCAAATATTCCAACTATTTCCGTACTAGAGGTCAAAAGATTTCTAATACGCAAAGAATTTAAAAGTTTTGTCAATTTGGGAATAATTGCTTTTGGTACAATATTTTTTGATTTTGGTCGCAATTATTTGCTAAATTTGTACAGATTTGATAGCTACGAAAGCTTTTTCTTCAGAATCAAAACATTTCAGAGAGACATTCGGACAATTTTCAAACGTGGGACCCATTTAATATCATTACAAAGAAAAATACCCAAAGATGGTAATTTTGGACATTTGTGTTTTTGGTATAATATTTGTTGACTTTGGTCGGAAATGTCGACATAATTTATATTTATTTTGAAGCTGAGATATACCTCAAGCGAAGTCAAGAGATTTTACAGAAATATTTAAACTATTTTCAAAGTTATGACCAATGGAATATCATTACAAAAAGCAATTTCAAGTTTGGTAGGTTTTGGGTATTTGTGCATTTTTTATAACATTATTGGTATTTGGTCGTAAATATGTAGATTTTTGGTATTAATTTAAAAGTTACAATACTCTTTTACGATAATCAGGACATTTTACCAAAATATTCTTAGTTTTAACAAAATAATGTTCCTTGAAATATCATTGCTTAAAAAACTGAGTTTGCTAAATTTTGAGTATTGTAGTATTTTTATGATATCTCTGATGTTTGGTCGAATATGTCCAAATAATTTGTTTTTATTTAGGGCCATGGGAGCCTTTATTCTACATAATTGAATTTTATAGAGGTATTTTGATCATTGCCAAAAATATGACCCATCTAATATCATCACAAAGAAAATACCCAGAGTTGGTAAATTTGGTCGTTTATTTTTCTGGCAATATATTTCTGATATTTGTTCTAAAAGGTCCGCATAATTTATACTTTTCTTGGAGGTACAATATATCCCCTCTATTCTCTATAATTATGGTCAATTGAGTATCATTACCGAAATAATATAAGGCTTGGTCAATTTCGGGTTTTGTAGTATTTTGTATGATATCTTTGGTATTTGATAAGTTATATCAATAATGTTTATATCGATTTCAAAGCTCGGATGTTTTTCTTTTCAAAATAAGTCACTTTACCAAAATATTTACCTCGCTTTGAAAGTTATAACCCATTAAATGTGGTTACCAGAAAAAAATCAATGTTTGCCAAATATAGGTTTTAATCCATTTTGTGAAAAATCCTGATGTTTAAAGAGTTTTATCAAAAATGTTTATAAAGAACTCATTGTTCAAGTATTCTTCTTTAGAAATCAAGTCGTTTCACAAATAAACTCCGATCACTTTTAAAGTTATGACCCATTGTATGTCGATACAAGGGAAATATGAATGTTTGGCAATTATTGATAGCGGTTTATAAAGGGAAATATCTCCGGAGTTGTATGGGTTATATCAAAATATATTTTATTGAATTCATAGCTCTGATGATGATGATTTAAAAACCAGGAAGTTTTGTTCGAATGTTTCAATAACTTTTTAAGTTATCGCCCTTTGATTGGCATTACTTAATGATATCAATGGTTTAGACATAAACAAACTTTATGTTTCTGGAACGATATCTCTCATATTACAGCAGCTACAGCTATATAATGTGTTTTGATTTTTAAGACGTGATAGTTTTCTTTAATAATCAAGACATTTATCCAATATATTGTAAATATTTCAAAATTTACGGCTCAACGAATGTCATTACGAAAAAATTACCAAAGGTTGTCATTTACGGGCACTGGATTATTTTGTGCGATATGTCTGATATTTAAAGAGTGATGTGAAAATAATTTCTATTGAATTTATAGCTCAGATATTCCTCTCCAAAAATCAAATTATTTTACTTGAATATTCGCATTACTTTTAAAGCTATGGCCCCTTGAATGCCGTTACGAAGAAAATATAAAAGTGTGACAGATATGGACTTTGGTTTACTTGATGAGGTATCTCAGGAATTTGATGAGTTATATCAAAATAGTTTTCAGAGATTTCTTTGCTCTGATGTTAGTCTTTAAACATTAAGTAAGTTTAGTCAAATATACCAATTACTGTTGAAGTTATGGCCCTCTGAATGACTTTATCCAAAAATAGCAAAGGTTTGGAAATGCAAAATTTATATGTTTCTAGTACGATATCTCCTGTATTAGAGCAGCTACATCCATATAGTACGAGTATATTTGAAGTACTTGCTAATTTTTTTTTTATAATCTGTACATTTGTTCAAAATATTCTAGTTATTTTAAAAGTTATGGCCCAAAGAATGTCATTACGAATAAATTGCCAAAAGTTGACATTTACGGGCATTGGATTATTTTGTGAGATATCTCTGATATTAAAAGAGTGACGTGAAAATAGTTTTTAGTGACTTGATAGCTGAGATAATTCTCTTTAAAAATCAGGCAATTTTACTTGAATAACCTCATTACTTTAGAAGTTATGGTCTATTGAATGTCGTTACGAAAGAAAAATTAAATTGTGGCAATTATGGTTTTTTGTGCAATTTGTAAGATATCTCTGGGATTTAAAGAGTGTTGTGAAAATATTTCTTATTGACTTCGTAGCTCAGATCCAGAACCTCTCCGAAAATCTAGTTTTTCTAATCAAATATTCGCATTACTTTTAAAGTTATGGCCGATTGAATTTAGTTACGCAGAAAATATAAAAGTGTGACAGATATGGGCTTTGGTTTACTTTGTAAGATATCTCTGGTATTTAAAGAGTAATGTGAAAGTATTTTTTATTGGATTCGTAGCTCAGACATTCTTCTTTAAAAAATCAGAGAATTTTACTTAAATATTCGCATTACTTTTAAAGTTATGGCCCATTGAATGTGGTTGCGGAAAATCAATTCAATTGAGGCAATTATGGGATTTTGTGCACCTTGTAAGATATCTCTGGTATTTAATGAGCTGTATCAAAATATTTCGGTTACTTCAAAGCTCTGATGTTAGTCTTTAAAAATCAGGAAAGTTTATTCAAATAGCCCAAATACTTTTTAAGTTATGACCACTTGAATCACATGACGCAAAAATTTCAAAAATTTGGACATTAAATTTTTTCGCTTTTTGGTGCAATATTTCGAATATTTCAGAGACTAAATCGACATATTTGAACGGTTCAAAGGTCTTCGACGTCCGTAGAAGATCCTGCCCAAAAATTGTGGTCATTTAATAGCTTTAAAGTGTATTTAAGGTCCAGAAAAGACCTCAAATCTTAATTGAATACATGGGGGCGTATAAGTTTTATTAATAGGGTACCTGTGGGCGTATAATTGATATTCGGAAATAATATAACGTATAAGTTCCACTTACCATATATTGTGAAATAGTTGACAGGGTTTCCAAAGGGAAATAATCCAAAATTGTGATGCCTTTCCTTAGGGAGATGTTTTGAAGTTATTTTGGGGATTTTGTTTATTTTTTTGGCAATTTGCAGAGTCTTGGAATTTTTTTGATCAGTTTCTTTGTTGTTGTTTTGATTTTCTTATTATTATTTTCAAATCAATTTGTCAAATTTTTAGAATCAACAATACCCGTCTCTAGCATTTTAATAGTTTATCGCCACTGCCAAATGGCTTTTGAAAGCGAATTCAATTTCTCTCAATTCATCGACAAATTAAAATAACAAATTATCTATTTCTTGATAACAACAAAACAAATTAACGGATACAATGTTTATATTAAATAACGTATTGCAGCAAATTGCCAGAGAATTGAGAATCAATGGAAGCTAGAGAGAGACGACGACGACGGTAGTCAGTCCACTTTGAGAATCGTATTGAAATTCTATGAAAACAAAATTCTTGGCTTGATATCAACAACTATTGGTAGCTGGGGAGGGAGGATGGAATGCGTCAATATCTAAACATCATCAGAGTTCTCATGTGAGCAGCTTTTTGCAGGGGGTAGGTTAAGGGGTGTGGGGGTGGTATTTCACTGCCTACACCTCAGCAAAACAAAAAAGCTACACGTGATTGCCAATGTATGGGTAATCTAGGGGGTCTCTACTACTCAGACAATGTTATACTTTATAGGAGATTTTTTTTCTTCCGCTGTCACTGCTTCACTGCACTGCTGCTGTGCTCCTATCTGTCCCGCGATTAAGATTTTTAATTGATTTGTTTTATTTTTATTTTTTATTTATTTATTTTTATTCTGCTTGTCGTTCTTTGCAAAACTCAACACTTTGCATGAGGGTATGTGGGGGTGGGACCTCTGTGATTTTTCTAGGTGAACAGTAGGCCAAGCTGTCGTTGTGATTAGTTCCCACTCTCTTGAGGGTTGTTGTTGTTATGTTTTTTTTTTCTATTCTCTTTGCATTTGTTACGAATTTGTTGATAATTTTTTTGTTTCTTCGTTTTTCTTTTGTTATTTTATTTTATTTGTTTCTCTTTTGGCTTCCCTTCCGTTTGACTTGCTATTATTTTTCCGCGTTGTGTGGCTGTTGTTGTTGCTGCTTTTGGCGCGGTCTCATCGTCACAACTTATGTCACTATAAACAATATTGACCTAGGTTTTGTTGTTGTAAATTAAAATTAATTATTAATTATTTTTTCTTGTTGTTGTGGCTGTTGTTGCTGTTATTATTTTGTGTGACGAGTTCTAGGAATTTTTATTTTGTTGTTGCGGTTTTTTCAATTTTGCGCAAAATGAATTTACAGAATTTTTTATTTGCAGGAATATTTGTTGTTGTTGTTATTCTGGGTATTTGATATTGAAATTTCACAACTGGAAAAAAGAAGAGAAAAGAAAATTGTATTACAAATTTTAAATAAAATAAAATTTTTATGTTAATAGGAAATTTCAAAAACAAAAAAAAAAAAAACTGAAAAAATCTTAAAAAATATTAAAATTTTAATTGAAAAAAAATTAAATTGTATTATAAACATAAAATAAAATATATTTTCTAAGTTAGTAGAAATTAAAAAAAAATGAAAAAATCCAATAAAATTGAAAAAAGTTTTGAAAAAAAAAATTTAAAAATTTTTATTGAAAAAAAAAAAATTGAAAATTTTATTGTTAACATAAAATAAAATATATTTTCTATGTTAATAGGAAATTAAAAAAATGTCAAAGTCCAAGGAAATTGAAACATTTATTGAAAAACATCAATTTTTTTTTAAAACCAATATTGGGTTTTTTGATCGGATAAACTTGAAACGAAAACCATCGATTCTCTTTCATCAACATTTTTTAAGCCAAGTCAAATTAGGAAAAATTTAATTTCAACCAATTTTTCATAAAGCATTGAAAATTTTTAAAAATTTTAGAAATATTTTGGAAAAAAACATAGAAATCATAGATTCATTAACTTCATTTCGTAGACAATATAATTTCAAAATTCCAAAGGTCATGGATGACTTCCAATACTTAAACAACCCACACAGAAGCGCTAGTGAACAAAATTTAGAAAAAAAACGTAGAATAAGAAAACATAGAATTTCTAAAAAAATCGGCCTTAGAAGGTGAAAATTTAAAAAATTGAAATAGGTCTATACAGGGTGAAATAAAAAAACTGCAACAAAGTCAAACGCCATATATATATTTTTTTTAATTTTATTGAATGAAAGTTGAAAATGTCGGAAATAGCATCAAATTTTAGAATAAGTTTAGATTTGATCGAATTGGTCACCTTTGCCACGAATTATGGCCTTCAAACGGCCAATGATAAAACGGTATTTTGGCCTATTTCCGGCCAAGCGCTTGCTTGAGATGATCGACGCTTTGGTATTTTTTAGTGCCAACCTTGCTTTCCAAAATACTCCAGACGCAATAGTCCAACGGATAGGTATCCGGAGATTTTGGTGGCAATTGTGCGCTGGAAATGAAGCGAGAAACCTCATTTTGTAACCATTCTTGGGTGGCGCGTGCTGCTGAGTGCAATGGTGCTGAGTCCTGTTGGAATGTCCAAGGCCTGCGGCCAAAATGTTTGCGTGCCCAAGACTTTAATACACCCTCCAGAATATTTTCGCGATAATATTCGCCATTTATTCTGATGCGAGCATCGGCTGTTATGGCGGCCCACACCATCAACATGGCGGGCACTTGAGTTTTGGTGGCCAACCGAAGGTGCACATTTTCAGCTGACCGCTTTGGTAAATAAACGCGATCATTTTGTTTCTTTACAAACTGCTGGACAACGTATGTTTTCTCAACGGAGTCGGAGAAAATTCAAAATTCTGCAGTTCACCACTTTCGGCAAAGAGAATCAATTCTTTAGCTCTTTTGGGTCTATTTTCTTTCTATTGTGGTATAAGTTCTTGCACTTTTTGGAATTTCAATGGCTTTACCCCGACCAAGCTCATTTTTCAATATTTGCCGAATGGAATGTTGCGACATGTTCAGATCACGAGCCATTTTTCGGCCACTGCGAAGCTGATTTCGATCAAGTCGCTTCTTTACTTTTTTACTTCTTTACTTTTTGATCTGATGTTCTGCTGATGTTGCTGTTTTCTTCTGTCCACTTCCTTGAGGTCGGGCTACGCTACCAGTATCACGGTAACGGATAACGAGCGATGATACGAGACACCAAAGATTTATTCACATTTAAATACTGGAGTGCTCTAACGATAGCCACTTGTGGTTTTCCAGCAAAATATAAAGAATTCACACTATCCCGCTTGAATACCATCACGAATAACTTTTTTTCTGGAAAATTCTAACCAAAATGCTTTTGTACGCTTATTAACAATGTAATGAGTTGTCACTGGAATAATTTTAACAGCTGTCGTACGGGTGATTTAGAAGTGACAGCAGTCTGAAGTTGTTTGCAGTTTTTTCATTTCACCCAGTTCAGTACCCATTTAAGCTCCAAATTTAAAAAAAGAAAATTTGATAAAAATTTGAAGATGATAAAAAATTGCTTCCGAAAAAGTTCGATATTGATAAAAAATGTCGGCTGTTTACAAAAACATAGACTATATTTTAATTTTATAATGCCGTTTTCCAGATTATATGAAGACATCAGACAGACTCTAAACCCCTAAAATTTATTAAAAAAAAAAAACATAGAATCCCTAGATTTTTTTTTCAAAAAATAAATAAAAAAGAAGCTTATTTTTTTGTCATAAAAGTTCCAAAAATCTCCTTGAAATCACTAAATAATGCATAAAAATTCGTTGAGATCTTTTTGGGAAACATAGAAAACATTCTGTTCTAAGGGTCTTTTAATAAACATAGAAAGATCAAAATTTCACATTGAAGTGTATTTTAACAAAAAAACAAAGAAAAAATAAATTCTGCTTGATTATAGGAAATATTTCAAGTTATAAAAGTTTCAAAATATAGCAATTACTGATCCATGAAATTCTTGTGTTGTACTATTCTGAAAAAATAGAATGACTGGGGTGTGCTTAAAAAAAACATAGATATTATTATTGTTTTTTTTTTTTAAATATTGAAAATTATTTTTGAAATTAGTTGGGCAAAAATACTCGAATTCGAATTTTCTTGATTCTGGGAAAGTATTTTTTCCTTGTGGGTCTAAGAACAAAATCTACTAAACCGATATAGACATTATGGGTATCATTCGGAAGCTTATGAAAATATCTTAGAGAATGAGCTATAACTTGGTATTTATTTTATGGACTTCTGCAATGGGCCCCTTTTCGACTTTTTGGGGGTTTTACAAAAAAGTCGGGTCCAAAAAATCTATCATTTATAAATAACTTCCGAACAAATTTCAAATAACCCCATGATGTGACAACTTGTCGGACAGGTGTATTCATTAGCTTTCAAATGTAATAATAAAACAACTCCAGTTTAGTAAAAACTCTTCGATTTTTTCGAAAGAAGATAAGTGATAAGTTTTTTTACCCTGATTCCGGGAAACTATTTTTTCTTTGGGGGTCGGACCTGGGTACTCAGATATTTGACTCTAAACTCCGGATTCAAGACCCGAGCTACACTAGGATCAACTTACCAAATATTAAAGCGGTTCGAAAGCGGACCCAGATCGTTTATAGCACCCCCGAGTCGAAAAGGTCGAAAAAGGACCCAATAAAATTGATGCCAAATTATAGCTATCACTCTTACCTATCCAAAATGCTATAATTTGTGCTAATAACTTTTTCGGGTCCAGAGATTCTAAACAGTTCATTAAAATTATGTTTTCAATTACAATTATGTTTTCAATCTTGAGCATTTCGCGTCAGACTTTCGGGTCAAAAATCTGGGTTCCTGGGTCCGTCCCCCCAACAAAATATGTATTTTTTCTTGAAATTAGGATAAAAATACCCCTGGAAAAGATTAAAAAAATTTGAAGATTTTTTACTAAACTAGAATTAAGTTAATAATAACACATTGGCCATATTGGGTCTAATGCTATAGATCCAGTTCTGACCCGTGTCAAATATATGAGTATCTTGGTCCTTCCACCAAGAAGAAAAAATACTTTTGCCGGAATCAGGGTACAAATACCTAAATCCGACTTTCTGCAATACACGAAAATTATTCCTAAGCATATTTAGATTTGAATTAAATCTGTCAAAGTTCATTTTTTAATAAACTATATTCAACTTACTTTTTCTTTTGAGTGTATTTATATTCCATTTATGATCGGCTGTCAGCTATACCCACATCCATGCGGAGAGAAATATAATCAGTCTTATATAATTTTCAGTGATTTTTAATTAATTGTTGTGTGGATTTTTTTATGGGAAAAATATTTCAATTCAATATTTTTGATGTCAGCTGAATGTATTTTTTTAATTTTAAAAAATATTAATTTTTAAATATTTTTTTTTAATTATTTTTTGTAATATTTTTTTATGAATATTCCTTGTTCTTGTTTTTTTTTTTTAACTTTTGGAACACTATTTTTGTTATTGATTTCTTTCTTGATGTTTGTATTAGCCACTTTTCCAGCACTGATATATTTTTTATTTATTTCAGTTTTTGTATAATTTTTTTTTTCTAATTTTTATACAAAAATATTGAAAATTATTTTTCAATTATTTAATTTTTTTTCAGGCTATTTTTTGTGGTTGGTTGTTGGAACACTGAAATAGGTTTTAATTGTTTGGTCTTATTATTATTATTTTTTTTTAATATTTAAATTTTTTCTTTAATTATTTATTTTTTTTAATTTAAGTTTTGTTGTTGTTTTATTTCAACTATTGGAACACTGATATTTTTATTCAATTTTTATTTAGTCTCATTAATATGTTTAATTTAATTTTTAATTTATTTTTTATTATTTTAAAAATAATTAATTTTTTTCGAAATAATTTTTTTATTTTTAATTTCTATTTATTTAATTTGAAATTTACTTTTATTTTCTTGGAACACTTGGATTATGATTTTCAGTATTTTTTAATATATTCTTGCTTTTATTTTAATTTTTCTTATTTGTTTCAATTGCACCTTTATTTTAATAATGTTTAATATTATTTTTATTTTTTTTTTTTAATTCTTATTATTTTTTATTTATTAATCCTTGCTTCAATTTCACCTTAAATTTGTGGTCTCTTTCTTATTTTTATTTTAATTCTTGGTCTGTTTTTTATTTTTTTTTTTTATTATTTTTTTGTAAAAAATATTATTTTCAAATTAATTCCTTTTTTTAAATTTAATTTAATTAAAAAATTGTTAATTAATTCTTTTGTATTTTTTTGTTTCTTGTAATTGTTGTACAAACTTAAAAAAAACTTTAAGGCATTTCTTAAAATAATTTGTGTTGTTTATGTATTTTTTTGGAAATGAGATCAATTTTTTAAAATTAATTTTCTTTTTTTGTAAATTAATTTAATATTTAATTCCACCAGTTTTCAAATTTTAATTAATTTATTTTTTGAGGAATATTTTTATCCAAATTTTTTTCTTCTTCTTTTAGAACGTCTCGAGCGTTGTATTGTTGTTTTTTTATTTTTGTATTTTAAAAAAATAACACAAAACGTTACGTTAATTAAATTTTCTGTGTATGTTGTTAACGCGTTGCGAGTTCAGTTTGAAATACATTGCGGCAAAGCGTTATGAAAAAGAATAGCCAGCCAATACGCCGTGTGTACCGCCGCAGTCACAAATGTTGTCGTCGTCGTTAAACGGCCAGAATAACAGAGCAAAGCGCTAAAGCTTTGCTGAGAACAAAACGCACACAGAGACAAAACAAGGCAACGGCAAAGCAAAGCAAAGCAGACTCAGTCAACAACATTTACTTTGGTTGGGTTCTTAGCACGTCGGCTCGCTGTTTCGTGCATGTTTGATTGTTGGTTTGCTCTTGCTCTGTTGCTCGGACGGCGGCAGATGCACAAACACACACACACACACACTGAGAGAGATATATGGCGGGTATCCACATCTCACACCAATAGAACACAAACACACACAGCGAGAGAAGGGCTTCTTATCGCCAACGAACTAACAAAATTTGAATGAAAATTGTTGGCGGCCCCTCTATGTGATGGCTCGTGTGTGTGTGTTCGTGTGTCTTGGAGAGTGAGCAACAAATTATTCTTATTGCGGTATATTTTTTCAATGTTGGGGAGAGGGAGAGAGTCAATGTAGTAACCACTACGCCTCCCCAATGCCACCCACCCACGAAATATTCAACTTATCATTCATATGTTTTTTTCTTTTGGGTTTCAGAGTCCCCCTCATCAACCAAACGAATTGTCATACAAAGCTTTTCTCTTTTTGTTGTTGTTACTGCTCGTCTTCTTCTGCCTACCAATGCTCAGCAAGTGATGAGAGCCGACAAAACTTGTTGTTATTGTTGCCAATAGTGTATACATTCTTGCCAGTCAATGGTGATATGCTATTGTTGTTGATATTTTTTTCTGCTGCTGCTGCCGACGTCGCAGAGCCAACGCCAGCTTTGCCGCCAACGTTATGTCCTTTTTGTGGATGCCGTCGATGCTTGTGTGTGCGTGCGAGTGCTTTGGGTTGTGCTCTAGTATTTGTAAGTTTTGCAGTTAGAATTTTTCAAAATACAAGCCGATATTTGAAAGTGTGCGTATGTTTTTTAGTGCGAATTGTTGAAGGTATTAGTGGGTCCGGCGAAAAAGGGTTCCCAGTTTACAGTAGGGGTCAAAATCTTGGGGAATATTTTTTCAAGGACTTGAAGAGCAATAAACGTGGATTTTTTAAAGAATATTTTTTCAAGGACTTAAAGACCAATAAACGTGGATTTTTTAAAGAATATTTTTTCAAGGACTTAAAGACCAATAAACGTGGATTTTTTAAAGAAAAATTTTTCCAAGGACCTTTAGATCCATAAACGTAGATTTTTTAAAGACAAATTTTTCCAAGGACCTTTAGATCCATAAACGTAGATTTTTTAAAGAAAAATTTTTCAAGGACCAAAAGCCCAAGAAACGTGGATTTTTTAAAGAATATTTTTTCAAGGACCAAAAGACCAAGAAACGTGGATTTTTTAAAGAATATTTTTTCAAGGACTTAAAGAGCAATAAACGTGGATTTTTTAAAGAATATTTTTTCAAGGACCTTTACACCAATAAACGTCGATTTTTTTAAAGAATATTTTTTCAAGGACCTTTAGATCCATAAACGTAGATTTTTTAAAGAATATTTTTTCAAGGACTTAAAGAGCAATAAACGTGGATTTTTTAAAGAATATTTTTTCAAGGACCTTTACACCAATAAACGTCGATTTTTTAAAGAATATTTTTTCAAGCACCTTTAGACAAATAAACGTGGATTTTTTAAAGAATATTTTTTCAAGGACCTTTAGACAAATAAACGTGGATTTTTTAAAGAATATTTTTTCAAGGACCATCAGTTGAAGAAACGTGGATTTTTTAAAGAATATTTTTTCAAGGACCATCAGTTGAAGAAACGTGGATTTTTTAAAGAATATTTTTTCAAGGACCATCAGTTGAAGAAACGTGGATTTTTTAAAGAATATTTTTTCAAGGACCATCAGTTGAAGAAACGTGGATTTTTTAAAGAATATTTTTTCAAGGACCATCAGTTGAAGAAACGTGGATTTTTTAAAGAATATTTTTTCAAGGACCATCAGTTGAAGAAACGTGGATTTTTTAAAGAATATTTTTTCAAGGACCATCAGTTGAAGAAACGTGGATTTTTTAAAGAATATTTTTTCAAGGACCATCAGTTGAAGAAACGTGGATTTTTTAAAGAATATTTTTTCAAGGACCATCAGTTGAAGAAACGTGGATTTTTTAAAGAATATTTTTTCAAGGACCATCAGTTGAAGAAACGTGGATTTTTTAAAGAATATTTTTTCAAGGACCATCAGTTGAAGAAACGTGGATTTTTTAAAGAATATTTTTTCAAGGACCATCAGTTGAAGAAACGTGGATTTTTTAAAGAATATTTTTTCAAGGACCATCAGTTGAAGAAACGTGGATTTTTTAAAGAATATTTTTTCAAGGACCATCAGTTGAAGAAACGTGGATTTTTTAAAGAATATTTTTTCAAGGACCATCAGTTGAAGAAACGTGGATTTTTTAAAGAATATTTTTTCAAGGACCATCAGTTGAAGAAACGTGGATTTTTTAAAGAATATTTTTTCAAGGACCATCAGTTGAAGAAACGTGGATTTTTTAAAGAATATTTTTTCAAGGACCATCAGTTGAAGAAACGTGGATTTTTTAAAGAATATTTTTTCAAGGACCATCAGTTGAAGAAACGTGGATTTTTTAAAGAATATTTTTTCAAGGACCATCAGTTGAAGAAACGTGGATTTTTTAAAGAATATTTTTTCAAGGACCATCAGTTGAAGAAACGTGGATTTTTTAAAGAATATTTTTTCAAGGACCATCAGTTGAAGAAACGTGGATTTTTTAAAGAATATTTTTTCAAGGACCATCAGTTGAAGAAACGTGGATTTTTTAAAGAATATTTTTTCAAGGACCATCAGTTGAAGAAACGTGGATTTTTTAAAGAATATTTTTTCAAGGACCATCAGTTGAAGAAACGTGGATTTTTTAAAGAATATTTTTTCAAGGACCATCAGTTGAAGAAACGTGGATTTTTTAAAGAATATTTTTTCAAGGACCATCAGTTGAAGAAACGTGGATTTTTTAAAGAATATTTTTTCAAGGACCATCAGTTGAAGAAACGTGGATTTTTTAAAGAATATTTTTTCAAGGACCATCAGTTGAAGAAACGTGGATTTTTTAAAGAATATTTTTTCAAGGACCATCAGTTGAAGAAACGTGGATTTTTTAAAGAATATTTTTTCAAGGACCATCAGTTGAAGAAACGTGGATTTTTTAAAGAATATTTTTTCAAGGACCATCAGTTGAAGAAACGTGGATTTTTAAAGAATATTTTTTCAAGGACCATCAGTTGAAGAAACGTGGATTTTTTAAAGAATATTTTTTCAAGGACCATCAGTTGAAGAAACGTGGATTTTTTAAAGAATATTTTTTCAAGGACCATCAGTTGAAGAAACGTGGATTTTTTAAAGAATATTTTTTCAAGGACCATCAGTTGAAGAAACGTGGATTTTTTAAAGAATATTTTTCAAGGACCATCAGTTGAAGAAACGTGGATTTTTTAAAGAATATTTTTTCAAGGACCATCAGTTGAAGAAACGTGGATTTTTTAAAGAATATTTTTTCAAGGACCATCAGTTGAAGAAACGTGGATTTTTTAAAGAATATTTTTTCAAGGACTTAAAGAGCAATAAACGTGGATTTTTTAAAGAATATTTTTTCAACGAACATCAGTTGAAGAAACGTGGATTTTTTAAAGAATATTTTTTCAAGGACTTAAAGAGCAATAAACGTGGATTTTTTATAGAATATTTTTTCAAGGACTTAAAGAGCAATAAACGTGGATTTTTTAAAGAATATTTTTTCAAGGACTTAAAGAGCAATAAACGTGGATTTTTTAAAGAATATTTTTTCAAGGACTTAAAGAGCAATAAACGTGGATTTTTTAAAGAATATTTTTTCAAGGACCCTTAGAAAAATAAACGTGGATTTTTTAAAGAATATTTTTTCAAGGACCCTTAGAAAAATAAACGTGGATTTTTTAAAGAATATTTTTTCAAGGACCCTTAGAAAAATAAACGTGGATTTTTTAAAGAATATTTTTTCAAGGACCCTTAGAAAAATAAACGTGGATTTTTTAAAGAATATTTTTTCAAGGACCCTTAGAAAAATAAACGTGGATTTTTTAAAGAATATTTTTTCAAGGACTTAAAGAGCAATAAACGTGGATTTTTTAAAGAATATTTTTTCAAGGACCCTTAGAAAAATAAACGTGGATTTTTTAAAGAATATTTTTTCAAGGACCCTTAGAAAAATAAACGTGGATTTTTTAAAGAATATTTTTTCAAGGACCCTTAGAAAAATAAACGTGGATTTTTTAAAGAATATTTTTTCAAGGACCCTTAGAAAAATAAACGTGGATTTTTTAAAGAATATTTTTTCAAGGATCTATAGATCAATAAACGTGGATTTTTTAAAGAATATTTTTTCAAGGACCCTTAGAAAAATAAACGTGGATTTTTTAAAGAATATTTTTTCAAGGACCCTTAGAAAAATAAACGTGGATTTTTTAAAGAATATTTTTTCAAGGACCTTTACACCAATAAACGTGGGTTTTTTTAAAGAATATTTTTTCAAGGACCTTTACACCAATAAACGTGGGTTTTTTTAAAGAATATTTTTTCAAGGACCTTTACACCAATAAACGTGGGTTTTTTTAAAGAATATTTTTTCAAGGACCTTTAGATCAATAAACGTGGATTTTTTAAAGAATATTTTTTCTAAAGAATATTTTTTCAAGGATCTATAGATCAATAAACGTGGATTTTTTAAAGAATATTTTTTCTAAAGAATATTTTTTCAAGGACTTTTAGATCAATAAACGTGGATTTTTTAAAGAATATTTTTTCTAAAGAATATTTTTTCAAGGACTTTTAGATCAATAAACGTGGATTTTTTAAAGAATATTTTTTCAAGGACCTTTAGATCAGTAAACGTGGATCTCTTAAAGAATATTTTTCCAAAGGACCTTTAGATCAATAAAAGTGGGTTTTTAAAGCATTTTTCTTCAAAGACCTTTTGATCAATAAACGTGGATTTTTAAAGCATTTTTCTTTAAGGACC